GAAGATAAGAAAACTGCTATTATCTATGCCCATCTCCCAGCTACCAGTGAGATCACTGATTCACTATCGTATATCTTGCAGATTTTTTTCTTTTTCTAATTTAATAGTTAAATGTGAATTTAGTGCATATGAAAAGTATCAGCATTAGAACTCAAGTGTTACTTTTCTAAAGAACAGATGCAGCATAGGCACAGGACAGTATACATTTCTCCACAGTGATCCACTCTGCTTATGAATAAAAGAGTAACTTTAGTCCTTTGCTTCTCTTTTGAGACTGCCAACAAAGATGTCAATAAATACATGTTGTAATAGTTTGTAATTATATTGACGCACATGCATAATGTCCATTAGAAGACTTAAGTTAAAATTTTCACAAGCACCCAAAGTACAGAGGAACCTCAGCCTCATTTTCAAAAATGATTTTGGACCTACTGACTTTCAATGACACTTAGGAATTTAGGGCAAAGTTTTCAAAAATGCTTGAGCTGTAAAATCATCTTGCACAGGCCAAACAGCCATTAGAATGGCAAAAGGCTACAGTCAGTACTGACTCTCTGGGTCAGATCTGAACCAAAGTTGGGTATTTGCCTTGTATTGCAATAGAATGTCTGAGAGCATATGCTATTTTGAGTATTTTCATTAAAAAGGAATTAGTGTGGCATGTCGCATATCTTTCGGTTCCACAGATTCTCCTTTTAGCCAAACAGAACTGAGGGTTCATGAAGCACAGTAAAAACTAAAAAATGGCCATTAGGTTTTGGCACATGCTTTATTGGGAAACAGAGTAAAAGCTAGGCCATTACTGAAATGGAAGCCTAATCTACTAAGCCCAAATTTATCAGACTGAGGCACGGCCACGAGTCACTGACCTGCTTGCTTGCGGTCAACTTGATGAAAAAGAAAAGCTTGAAATCACCTTTACAGTGGGGAGAGGTGAATCTGTACAGGAAGTTAGCCAATTTAGAAATGTTACCGGGGGCTTGGAGAGAGCCCAGATATGGGTGGAAGATGGGGACTCAAATATTGCTGACGATAGGCATGAAATATCTCTGACAGCGGGGCGGCCAATCATCACCCCACTCTTCACTGAGTGATTTGCTGCTCTCATTTGCCTTGCACCGCTTAAAGTGCACTCTGAAAGGCGAACCTTCTTTATTATTGTCTGTCAGAGATGGATCAGAGATGAAGCACTGAAATTAGCCATGGCTTTTTCATCAACTTCTATTTGCCAGACTGGATTCCAAGCACTGATTTACCTGAAAAATAAATGTTGCTCCCACTGCTGGAGATGATCTCCACCTGTAAAGCAGCTGCATTGACTCTTGTCCACTTCTGCTCATCAAAGTAACTCCAGGCTTCCCACTGACAGTGTTTTGATGAGATTTTGAAATGAACTGCTATAGCAATTGTTTGTACCTTTCTGTTTTAACCTACCTTAAAGTCCTCAGCAGTTGTTTTAACACATTCATGTGCAGCATTAGTTTTGAATTACCAGAAATGAATGAGAAATATTTGGTGTATGCTAATAAATCATTAAAATATACACGGTTCATCTCCATCACCACTACACATTCATACTCTCCCCCTTCACTTCTGCCATATTTCTTCCCAAACTGCATTATTTCCCCACTACCACGCCCACAACCCACATTACTTTTTGACACCATCAATTCCCCCTTGACCCTTCACTTCCTCCTCCCTCTCCATGCAGGATCTTAATGACAACTTCCAGGAGAAGATTGATAAAATCTATCATGATCTCCCTTACTCCCCGTCCTACTTCTCCCCTGTCCCCAAGACCTAGGTTTTTCACCTACTTTCCACCATCCCTCTACCTCATCTATATCAGCCTCCCAATCTCTCTCCTTTTTAGTCATTCACTTTTGGCTTGCTCTCTTTAAAATGCAAACATGCTCTCGTCAGCTCCTTATTGTCAAGAAACCCTCCTGCCTCTTCAGTTTCTTCCTCATTTCCTTTTTTCCTTCCCTTCTAAACTTATCAAATATGCCTTGTTCCTCAATGTTTCTTTCAGTGAACTCTTCTCTACCCTCTGCCCTTTGTGGGGGTCCTCCTCTTCTCCCTTTACACTCCATTTGCAGAGTCTCACAAACAGGCCCGCCGACAGGAATTCCGGGTCTCAGGGCAGAACAGTCCAATTCTGGTCGCCATGCACGCACAAGCTGCACCCAGGTGGACGCGGTCCACCTGACATTTGGGCGGTGCTGCGCTTGCACTGGCTGGTGCCCAGCGAGCTGCCGGCTGCGCTGCTCAGCGCACTCTTCCAGCATGGCCAGGTCTTCCACATGCCTGCCCGACAAGGTTGCCAACTGTCTAATTGCACAAACCCAAAGACCCTTCCCCCACCCCTTCCCTGAGACCATGCCCGTCCCACCCCTTTTCTGAGGCCCCACCCCCTGCTCACTCCATCCCCCCTCCCTCCGTTGCTTGATCTTCCCCACCCTCACTCACTTTCACCAGGCTGGGGCAGAGGGTTGGGGTGCGGAAGGGGGTGAGGGGTCAGGCTCTGGGAGGGAGTTTGGGTGCTGGGGGTGTGTGCAGGCTCTGGGAGGGAGTTTGG